GGAGGTAACAAAGCCATTTGATTCAGGTGTGTTGGACAAAGGATGGATGTAAAAGTTTCAGGATACAGCACCCAGGAACTGGAATTGCCCACCCCTGGATCAAAGGAATCGATCATCTCATTCACAGGAGCATAAAAATGACCTTGTGTTAAACCTAGGTCACCTTGGATAACTGTATCGTGCATTCCTTGTATGGGTTTCTTGACAAAAAAAAAAAAAAAAAAGAACAGTAGATATGTTGATGTCCTTTGGTTTCAGTGCTGATGAGCCTCTTAAGTCCCAGCTTAGCCACAGAAATCTCTGCTTGTCTAATAATCACTGTACCTCCAGGTCTTTGAAAGCCATACAGTGTTTGGGAATTTTTCTTCATGTAGTTCGCCCCTTCTGCAGTATCTTCACAGGTGCTGCAGCGCTGTCGTAGTTCTGCAGGTGGTTTTCCAGAGCATTCTTAAATTTGGCTTGCATTTCTCAGAAACCTTTAGTATTTTGGTTGTTCTCTTCTGCCGGGTAATCAACATGTTGCCATAGATACTGTATACTGTAGATGTTTAAGGTGTGTTTTGTCTTCAAAGCTAGGTAACTTCTCTTAGTGAGGTCATAATGATGGTGTTTCTCTAGATCTCTCACCAGAAATCTGGTGTGTCAGTGAGAAGCATATGCAGCCCTCTTCCTTAAAATAAAGGCACCTTTAATCCAGTTTGCACTTGCCAGTGTTTAAACACCAGTTGATAAGTGTGAATGCTAATGGTTGTCTTTTGTTGGTGTATCTCTAAGATGACCCTGATGCACTCATGACCTTCCTATGCCTTCCCATGGCTGCCTGTGTGCCTAACAAGCAGAAGAAATGATGGCTTGGTGATGCATGGGGAACTCTGTGTGCAACACAGGGAAAAAAATTTTTTTAATAGAAAATAGTGAGCATTGCTTGATATGACTTCTCTTAGGCTGATTGCATGCACAAATTATAATTTAACGCTAAGCATAAGGGGAAAACCCAGCATCACACTCTCTTTAATTTGCAGGCCTTTGTGCCAGCCTCAGCCCACAGGATAGAAACTACTCCACATAAATGTGTAAATTTAAGCCAAGAAAACGCAAGCTAATGATTATTGATTAAAATGCTCCTTTAGAGCCTTATTTGTAACAAAAACACAAAATGGTTTTCCATTAATTTAAAAACCCTTATATGCTCATTGAGCTAATTATAATGTCATAATTTGTACAAAGATAATTACACAGTGAAGAGGTGGAGTTCAAGAGCCAGCAGCAAAATTAAGTTTTGCTTCAGGTCACAGGGAGTTCGGCAGCCACCACAGCCCTGAGGACAGGAGCCAGAAAACTTCTTCCCCCGCTTGGAGCCTGGGATCCATTTCATCGCCTCCATGACTATAAATGCGAATAAAGCAAAACAATTAGGACAGGAAAATTGACCCAGGTGAAAAAAAAAGAACGGATGGCATGGAAACATGGTAAGTTTTTAGACAAATGCTGCCAGCAGCAGCTCTCCCAACACAGCCCCTCCCCTGAATCCTTTAGCTGTATCCAAACCACAAATCCCACACTTTTCCTGGAAAAGCAAAGAGGAGACTGGACTGAAATATACATTGGAATTTTCTACTGCGAGTGGGGTATGGGAATGCCCAGAAACTTAAGAAAAGATTACATCTAGTAAAGCAAATACGAGTTTAAAAAAGTTTATGCTGATTCTGTGAAGAAACCTCCCTGCTTGTTGTGTTTGCAGCTCTATTTTAAGCATTCGATGTAAGTATACAGTAGCCCTGGAAAGGTTTTTGAACACTGAAATGCTTAATTAGTTTTCCTCAGGAGTGCTGCAACTTTGTAATCAAACTCTCATAGCTTTTTAGGCTTAGGCTAATTACAGGTTCAAGCAGGGAGCCCACAGAAGTTTAGGGTCAAAACAAAAATGTCTGCCTTCCAGAAACCAGGAAAGCCTACCTCCTTCTTCTCTCTCCACACTAATGTCTTCAGTATTTCTTTTAGCACCTTGCCTTGCTTAAATAACCTTTTTGATGTTGCTCTTTCTGCTTAAATGTGAGTTTCTATAAATGACCGTGTTGTCAGGACACCATCATGCTATGAGCAGAAAGCTTTCCCCCACTGCAGTGGGTTTGTGCCTGAGCACCATGCTGTGGTTTGTTGTGTAATCTCTTAGTTATGCACTTTATTTCCTTACCACTGGCACCAAGGCGCCTTTCGCTGTTTTCCATTGCCACTGGTGCTTTTAAAGCCAAGATGATAGTTAAAACTTGATTATACCTTTTCGAAAAGATTTGAAATAGAATGCATTGAAAGAATAACGACACTCTTTCTGACCGAATGAAACACACAATTTCTTCTTGACTTGGAGAGACTATGTAATCCAATTCGTGTCAGCTTCTTTCTGACATTTTAGAGTCTGACTGTAAAAAAAAATCCCGTCTGCAGCAAATCGTGGCTATGCATAAAGTTCCTCGCTAAAACAAAGGCAACTGTTAGAAGCCCTGCAAAGCTTTTCATGATGTTGCTCTGCTCTGTGATCCACACTGTAAATGAGTTTACATTCCTTCATTTGCTTTGCATGTGGCAGTGGGCAGTGCAGCGGTTAAGACTGATTGCAGCAGATAAGCCTATTTTTTCCCCTGTGTTAGAAAAAGGAAATAGTCTGCCTGTTTTTAGGTTGGCATGTTGCTAATTACAGCTGCTGCAATGGAGGGTTTTATTTATTTTTTTTATTATTTCTAAGAGGAAAGTAGCTTCCTCCTGTGCATGTTAAACATCTTGACTGGATTTCATGTTGAACAAAATAGAAAACTACTTTTGATCCTTTGTCTCTCCACTTTGGATTCACAGGTTTAGCTTGTGTTAAAATGATAATTTCTGTATGCTTTGCTTCTGCAAGACTTCAGGCATATTTTGATCAATATATCTGCAAGCTTTCTGAAAAAAAGTGTTTAAGTTTGTCGTCTGCTTTCGTTTTCTGCCTGGTCTTTAAAATGATGGTAGACTGTAAGGAGTGATTAAAAACATCAAGTGACAGGTCTAAGAAACTATCTACACCAGATGAATGGTATAATGAAGTTATGCCTTTAAGAATCTCCAATAGAAACCAGACACAGGATCTGAAAGATGCATCAACCATCAGTTTATCGCAAGTTTCACAAGAACCGTTTTCTCTGTCACCTGAATATTTACACTGATTCAACTAACAACATGGGAACCAAATGTGTTGTTTGTTTTTGTTTTATTTTAAATTGGTTACTGTCAATTAAGTACAGACTCATTTTGCTAATCTCTTTAGCTTAAAATAAATGTTTATATGAAAAAAAAAGAAGGCGGAGGGCGGATTTTTTTTTAAGCATGCATAACTTAATATAGTCTATTTTAATATAGTCTATTAACCCAAATCAATATGTATAGTATGGTCGGTACACATCAGGTACGCCATTCATTGACCTTGACCGAGGCACCTTACAGTAGAACTGCAGTCAGTCTCTGGACTGACAAGGCTATCACTGCCCCTGCATAGTTAAGGCAAATGCAGAGAAATTTCCCACTGGGATCAGCTTCATAGTCATGGTAGGACACTTCTTTTGATTTTATTTATTTTGTTCGGGTTACCCATAAGCCCACAGCCCATCAAATAATGAAAGGGCAATATTATTGCCATTGCTGTTAATATTAAGTAGAAATGTTACACATTCAGTAATAAAATGTGACAGGGGATGGTACTGAAGAGGGGGGATGATTTTAAGGATTTTTTTAAGAAGGTGGACGCCATCCCCCCATCATCTTACCTCAACTCGAGTGCTGTTTATATGCATCTTACATCTAGCTGAGAGTAAAACAGCTATGACTGAGAGAGAAATGGGCAGGTACTGCACAGAAACAGAGGCAGAAAGGCCCCCAAAGCCAAAACTTCAAATGAGCTTCAAAAAGCCAACAGAAAAAATTATTGAGACCACATAAAAATATTTTCTCTCAGTCTGGCAGCTTGGAGGCCATGTAAGAAGAGTGAGTGATGTCTGAATACTTTTGTACAGAGCTATAAGTTGGCCTGGCCTTTACTACATATTTTAATCTTACTCATAAGGCAAGATGTGGTTACAGCATTAATCTTCTACCCGAGAGCAGAACGGCTGCCAGCCACCTGCATCCCCTGCACTACATGATCAATTTATCATAATGAAAATCAACAACTGACCTGGTCCACGATTTACAGAACATCAACATTTTCCTTAAACACCCAATCATACAGGACAGCAGAATGTAACAGGCAAATGTAAACATAGATTTACTGTTACTTTAGGAATAACTAATTGGTTTTGCCTACTTACAGTATTCCTATTAAACTGCTTCCAGGCCAAACATTTAGAGCAGCTTGTGTTGTTCCCAGCATAGAAGAAACAGATTTAAGCCTTCTTTGAATCATGCCTTGTAAGACATTCATTTAAAAAATGAGCTAATCATTGGGGATAAAGGCGCAGCCAGAAGTTGTTAGTTCAGCTTAGCAGAGAAACATAAAGCCTGTTCTGTCACATAAACATTTAGTTTGAAGGGCTAGTTAAAAATATACAGGGAAACAATACATTCAAAGAAACCGCATCAGTAGAGGCATCAAATCAATGTGTTAAACTTTCATAGTGAGATGGGGACGCACTCTATTCCTTAATTAGAGCAAATCGCAAAAAAGTGCAACTATTTTTACCCAATGTAAAATCTTAGCCTGATCTGTTAAAGATCATGGGAGTTTATTAATTTCACTGTGATTCACTGTGAATTTTAAGAAGAAAAACAAACTCATCATAGCTTTTTAATAAGTGAGAACGTCACAAAGTAATGTTAAAATTGGATACTTATTTTAACCTTGAAGAAGTAAATAAAGAAAGTTGCTTAAGAACTAGTAAGCTTTCTCCTTAGCAGCAAATATTAAAACATTAAATATTTATAATATCTTATCATATCATAGTACTTGAACCACGACAGGAGCGTTCATTTAATACAAATTCTTTATTGAAAAATGTGTTTGTTTCTGTGATGCAAATATTTTAAAGGAGTTGAAAAAATTGAGAACATGAACCAAATCGGTTACTTTTACAGTTGCGGTTTGCAAATAGACACATTGAAAAGCTGCAATGCATATATATAGAATCAAAGTGCATATTCTTGTTCCTTTTTATGTCGACAATATACACATTACACTATACATAAATAATTGCATCGTAAAAATGACTCAAGTATTTACATGTAAAATATATCTTATATAATATATAAATTTATATTAAATCTAGCTAGATTACAATTGGGATACTGAGTCCAGATGCTTCCTGTTTTGTGTGCTATCTGTGGGTGTTGAGCAGGACCTCCAGCCAGCAGGGGCAGGAGGTGATGAACTGTCTGGAGTAACAGGGGCCCCATCCCTTAGCAAAACTGATCCGGATGCTGTGGGGGTCCCAGGGCCCCTCTTGGGTCTCTGGTTTTACGCCGTGCTCTGTCATCCAGCTAGAACACTCAAAATCAAACACCTTAAGAGAGAAACCAGGCATCACCCTGTTCACGCTCAGCCCACGAGCGCTCGGTAGGTCCAGAGTTGGCGAGTGGACGAACACCGGGTGCTGGCTGCGGTTGTAGACCCACACCCCGTCCGGCTCTCGGCTCAGCACAATGCCGAAACCGATTTTACTGCGAATCTGTTGTATGTTGCCGCTATTGCTGTTGTTCCCTCCTCCTCTTCCGTGGCTGTGGTGCCGATAAAGGTCCGACGTGCTGTGGCTGCCTGGGTCCTCGCGGCGGCTGTGGTAAGCGTTGGCGTGGAGCTGGCCAAGGCAGAGGCCCGTGCCCTGAGGTAGGTCGTAGAAGATACTGAGCGAGGGCTCGTAGGCTGGATACAGGCGTCCCACACGGGTGCGTTGCTCCCAGTAGGCAACGCTGCACCAGTGAGAGCGGTGTCCACCGGAGGTGGAGGAGCCGATGGAGGTACCAGTGTCTGATGGGAAAACAGATGGAAGAAATCCTGTTAGCATCACTCTGGTAAACCTTTGATAGAGCTTGATCATCTGGCTTTTTATGTTGAGATAGTGTATCCATATAACCCAATAACTTATCACACTTGTCTGGATAGCATGGTGTGGTGGGTTAATTATCTAAAGATGTGCAACAACCTAAAAGCCCAAAGTAAGGTGGAATAAGCTCCTGATATGAGTCTAAAAAATAGGAAGAATTAAGGTTAAAAGATTATCTTAACTATTAATGGCTACAGAAGACACATTGCTCAGAGCAGTAAAATATTTCAGCTCAAAAGGGAAAAATAATTAAAGTGTGCTTTTATTTTATAAAGTGTTAATCCCATGGGAAAGAAAAGACTTAATAATGAACTTTAAGTTCAAAGAAGATTCATTTACTAACAAAATATCTTACTTTCTTGAGGTAAGTTAGTAAAAAAGAAAATTTAAACCAACAGAATTCTGAAATATTTTTAATGTGAATGGAGGACCGCTTTGCTTTATTGCTCTATCGTCTTTCACAAGTTTGCAGCGAGGCAGACATGATGGCTCTGAATGTCTCAGAACACAAATAATTACTAGTAGAGCTTTATGTACTTTGTCTCAAGCCTTAACCAGATTGAATGTAATCAGGGTTTTTACAAATTTTAATTTAAACATTCTTTATTTTTTTGGCACTTTTCTTGACATAATTCATAAAATTAGAGCAAAATGTATAACTTGGTTTTGCTGTCTTTTAATGGTATGTTTGATATTCTAATTATTACGTCCTGACCTTACCTTTCGATTTCAGCATTATGGTAAATGCCATTTCTGCTATTTGTATTTATCTGCTATTTAGAGGTTGATGGAAACATTAGCTGTGTGCTTGTTAAAGAAAATAATTATTTCAAATATATCTGCATATTTTAGCTTTACAAAGATAAATGGAAAAAAGAATAAACCCTGGTAAAATCTTTTTTTTTTATTAAATCTTCTAATTCCAATATCAGTCCAGATCGAAAAAATAATAAAATAAAATAATAAAAGGAAATAAAAGCATTTCAGGACTGCATAGGGTTCTTGTGTAAATAAATGAGTAATTTAGCCTTTTGATTTAAATAGTGAAACAAACAAACAAACAAAAGAAAACAAAAAAAAGAGGTGTCTCAATCCTGCATTCTGTATCATGACCTAAAGGGGGAGACAAAAGAGGGAGATTCTGGGATTCTTTTTTTCTAAAGCAAAACATTTCCTACATATGTTTTAAATTCTTAGCTCTCTTTTTTCTTCTTACTGGAGCTCATTAATAATATGGATAATATGGTAATAAATATACAGATAATTTGCTACAGATAAGAATCTGCCTTTTTTTCTAATGAAATATGTGCAGAGATTTAAGGGATAGAAAATATCTGCTCTCTTAAGCCTAGCCATGCTTATAAGCCCTGGATTCATTTTTATTTTGCCTTCGGTCGAACATTTTACTTCGGTTTGCCACCTGTGTGAAAAAGCAGACTTAAACCCTGATTCCTTTGCCTCCTCTGCTGACATCCCTCACTGTCACCCTCTGCAAACCTTCTTCAGAGAGCAGAGCTGGGGGGCAAAAGCATTCAGCTCTCTGTCAACCTAGCGTAAGCCCATGAACCCCTGACCCCCTAGCCCTCATGCTATCAGCTCACATTAACTCCCACACAGAGTGATGCCATTATTTTGCTCCAGAGACTCTATTGACACAGAGGATTTAAAGACCCATGTGCCTGTGGCCCCATTCCTTTCACATCACAGCGAACACCCCCTCTTCACCCGCAAAGAGCCAGATGATGGCCGCTCTCTCATTAATGCTCTGCTTTTAGGTGAGGCCAGGACCAGGAGGGGTCCGGGTTAGTTTCAGCAGGTCTGAGTGTATCTAGAGGCTCTTATCACCACAATCAGCAGCAGATAGGAGTCGGAGCGCAGAAAACTACACAGGCAAGAGTTCTCACACTCGCACAAACCGAGCCTCCTGATCCAAACAGCACAACTGCAAACACACAAACACTGGTGCACAAAATTGCACTTCTCATCTGAGGCCCACGTGTGTCATTAGTGAATTCCAGGCTGGCAACTCCTGCAGTCTGGAGGTTTTACAGCTCTCCAATAAGAGAGCAGGCTGCTCAGCTAGCAGGATCTCTCTCACTCTTTCTCTAACTCGCCCGAACACACACAAACACGCACACATCCCAGGACTTGAACACACTTTTACAAGCCGTGCTCTTCCCTGTAATAAGGCAACACAAACATGTCTGGGGAAACACAGGGAAACTTTATGAGCTCATGATCAAATTAATGCCCAAAGAAAACAGAACAAACTGATTTTCTGTGCCTTTTCAAAGAAGCATGATAGTCAACAACTGTGTGCTGACCTGCTTTACCTTTTTTTCCTCATTTTATAACTCGATAAGCAGTCAATCTAATCTGTCTCTTAGCAGATTGTGTGCCTCAGATAAAGCACCTATTTGGGACTTCAAAGCTTAAGGTTAAGGCTGGATAAAAAACATGAACAGAAAATATAATATGCATTGAAAGTCAAGCATTTCTGGAGGAATTTGCAGAAGAGATCTCAGGTCAGATCTTTACTGGAGGTTTTTAATACTACATAAGAACATTAATACACTGAGGTAGATGGTTTTTAAAGCTTGTAAAGAAAAAAAACAAAAACCCCCCCCCAAAAAAACAGCCAAAAGTCAAACTAAAACCCCCAAAAAATGAATTCCACTTTAAAAGTTTTGCTCATCAAAGAAAATGAAAAGGGGTGCAAAAACTTTATCACACACACACACCTCTACGGTGAGAAGTTCAAAACTCTAAATCATGATCTGCATCAGTGTTTGACAGGCCCAGAGGAACAGTAAGACATGTTTAATGTTTCTGGCACAGGTCTCAGTGTCATCACGCTCAGCCTGGCTATCATCCAACTGAAGGTATGACAAGCTCGTGTGAGAATGGGGAGGGAGGGAGGAGAAGGGGGCGGGGGAGAAGGAGGGAAGGGTGACTAACTTCTTCAATGGAATTTTTAAATAGGGGTTCAGACCCGAGGTTATCAGCGTATTTATGTTTGAGCGGAGGAAGTCGGTTGGGTGAGGGGGAGGAGCCCTGGGTGCCTGTGATGTGAATGAGCACGCCTGCATCTGTATAAGAAGGCTGGCAGCAATTACAGCACCCTGCAAGCATTTAGGCCGACCACCATTTAAGAGCTCTGTTTACCAATTAGATAAGTGGCCTTTGTTATTTCACTTCAAAATCGCTGTCTCTTAGTGCCAATCTTACAGAAGTGTCCACTAAATTAAACATCAGCTTTCAGCCTACAGATAGTGAGATGAATATTTAAAACAAACAGAACAGTATTCACCATCTTGACAGAGCTGTGAAGATTTTAAGGGACAGAGATGTTTTCAGTTCACGGGACAGAAAGTCTGTTTCCTGTAGGTTTTCCACAGACGGTTCAAATCTGGATTTAGACATCATGAACACTCATCTTTTTCCTTAGTTTCCTAACTATTCTTTCACACAGACCACAAATGAAGAGGAACAGTGAAAAAAGAATTTTTTAGACTGTTCTATGAAGCTTTACCTGTAACAAAACAACGGAAATCTGTGAGATAAAGATTCCTTCGATTTTTTTCAGGTTTAAATCAGACAAAAGGCAAAACAAGCAGAGCTTCAATAGTTAAACTGTTTTCCACTACCTTTTAATGGAGTACAGTGTAAGGGCACATTTAAAGTTACAACAAGATAATCTGTGTTTTATGTAAAAAGCTGTGCTGCTGCCGGCTATGATAAGGAGCTCTGTCTTAATTTTAAACTTCTTAGGGTTTACTGAGAGAGAGCAAAAACAAAAAGGGGATAGATTTGTTTTAACATTTAAACTGGATGTATAACGCAGGTCTATTGGCTGCAAAAAGAAATGCACACAATGGACAAAGAAAAGTTTTTTTCATATTTTTGAATATGGATGAATTTCCAGCCTTAACAATACCGATAGCTTGCTCTACTAAGCCCAGTGAACCTCCAAGCTGGAAGAAGCATCTCAAGTGCAGTTCAGCACAGAACCATCGCCACACAACCCAATAATCTATAAGGGTTAAATCTATGATCTGTTGATCAGAGTAACATCAGCCGGTTACTTTTTGTTCTATGTTTTGGATTATACCACTCACTGCAAACGTTTGTGTTTTACTTTTATTCCAGACTATGACTGAAATAAGGGCCAGTTTTAAAAATGTGTTTCCATTATTCTTAATTTGTTTTTATGATACAATTCAGAGAAAAAGGAATGGATTGGATTTGGTATGGAGAAAATTTTAGGTCAAATTTTCAAGCCATATCACCTCAGCCCCAATGGCAACTGACTTTGTTAAATAAATAAACTGTTTGAATAAAGACAAATTAAACCTAATTAATATCATTGGAGTCTCATATACCAAACTATTGGGGAAAATTTATATATTTTTAAGTCAAATTCATGTTTTTTTTATTTCAAAACAGTAAATTTCTCACTTTTAACTTTTTTTTTGTCCCATGATGATGCCATCATCATCATCATCGAAAAGAGATGCAACAACTATTATTTCATGTTTTTATGTATAAAGCCATTTAATATTTTCCAATACAAAGCAAAATATTTGGAATATATGGTTTTATTATATGTAAAGCAAATATGTGAACATATGAACCATATGTAGTGTGTAAATCAGTGTCTACATCACATATATGATAAATTCCTACATGTTGTATATATGTTAAACTGTGAATAAATATGGCGTACAACTGTGGTAATCTATGAAAAAATTATAATGATACTTCTTTATTTAAAATAATATTAAAATAACACACTACAGAAAAGTATCAAAAATGTGGCAACATTACACTATAGCTTCAAATAAAATAAATTTAAAAACCAGGCAAAAAGCAAAACATGTGGAAAACCTGAACAAAAATATAAACTTGCATTCTCAGTGATGTA